CACTATCTGACCGTTGTGAGATATGAAAGCGAGTCAGAAAGTCCTCGTTTTAACTTCCAATTTAGATCGTTTGGAGAGCGTCATCCCATTTGCCTCTCAACATTTTCAATTGCATGTAAGTCAATTTCAAAATGCAAAAAATTTGCTGGATGATGAGGTAAAGCCTGGTCTGGAAAGGGTACGTGACTAACTGACGACGGTGGCTAAACCAAAAATTGACTATTCCGGCCATTCTGGCCTTTGTCAGAAATACCGTCTGACTGTTCAATGATCCGAGCTACCTCAATGTTACTTGGATTGAATGGCTTTCATTAAAGCCATAATTTCGCGTTTTTGCTTTACGTTAGCATAAGTAGACACCACTGTTTTCGCGATTTTGGATATTTAAACATTAAATAACGCGCTAACAAAAGTACTTCTGCGGAGTGGCGAATCTCAACCAGACATTTAGGCGTAGTTCAAACGCGTAAAGGAAGGAGATCGATTTAAACCGCGATGTTGACAGGGCATTTGCTTGACATCTGTACATTTCCGCTTAGCATAATTATTGCAGTAGGGACCTGAATGATCAAGCTCTACCCTACTGCAACCAACATTGCCCACCTTGTTAACATTCATTCCCCGAAAAGCAGTATGGTTTCAGCCTCAATCAATATTATGTGTAGGCTGTACCTTTTGGCAGAGGAAGAGTGAAATTCGTACTTAAAGGACAAGGAAATATTATGATGTCCGTAAGGGTAATAATTGAGTGTATATTTGGAGCCAACCGTGGACGATAGTGAAATTACAGAGGTGACAAATATTTTTGCCCAAGGAAACCAAGTTAACCACTGCTCGAAGGTTTGCGTTGGATGTTTTCGATGGAAAGGCGCAAGTGAGGGCATTGTTTTTTTCGGGCCGTCCGTTTATGGGGAAAGGAAATGAGGACTCGAAGTTCTGAGCTTTGCTATGATATAGAAGGTTGGTTCAGGTGGTTGCGCCGGAGGAGGGCTTCGCCGATTGGTAAGATCTGCATCAGAAAATAAGGCCTTCAAGATGAGCAGCTCAGTTTGTGCAATGTTGCCATCAGAATTTACGTGGTTTCGCACTTGTTACCACTCCCATAGGACATCAAACAGATTTTACCGACACTGTTTCACGTTTAGGTTTGGGGTTAGG